TTTTTTTTTTTTTTTTTTTTTTTTTTTTTTGTGTACTAACTGATGTTGCTTGGTGGTGTATCATGTCCTTTCTGAATTTCCACCATTGTGTGGTGAGACATATTAAAATACGCCATTCTTGTACCCTTTTTAATATGTTATTTAGAAGCAAATTTTTGAATCATGGCCCTCGTTCGTGGGGTTATAATGTGGAGGGTAGTACGTGAAATTACTAAAATGTGACAGTGGGGGTGATGTGATTTATACAACTGTGCATGTGGGTCTATTCGTGGGTCCTCCTCCAGTCACCTCCAGCTGGTGCCAATTTCGGTATACACATATATGTAGCCCCTTCCCTCCGCCTGGTCAAAAGAAAAAATCGTGCATGTGCTTCCACTCGAAATTGTATCTCTGGCGTAGGAGAGCCAGGCCTTTGCCCAGGACCATATCAATCTGGTACTTATAAAGTGGGTATTTCAAGAGCAGCTCATCATACTTTGTTTTTAAAAATTCGATATGCTCATTCATATTTTCTATTTTGAACGAGGCCAAAATATATGTCCCTGCGACTCCACTTGCACGTGATGACTGTTCCAACAGTTCATTTACATGGTCTCGCAAATCTTCTAATATAAATAGAACATCAAATAATTCGTGTATTACTTTTTTTTTTTTTAAAACATCTTCATCTTGTTCATATGGCTTTATCTTATCTTCTAAGGAGTTTAGAATTCCTTCCCAAATGGGGACATTCAAAACGAGGTGTACAGAGTCGTTCCAGTTGCTTGTTAAAATGTGGTCATACAGATCGTCCATTTCGCTCATTAATTTTGTTTTTTCATTTTTGGTGTCGTACAGGGATGTGAAGTAACTTCGTTTACTTACCAGGGGGGCCGTCTTCATCATCCCATGGTTCTGTTGGACGTGCGTGTGCAGGAAGCATTTTCTTGACGTGGGTGCTGTATCCTTGAAGCGGAAGCACAATTTCGGTATGTTCCCGCGGAAGGGGAGAGGCGGTAGTTTGGCCATTTTCCCGGGGTTTGTCCCCTTGGTGTATCCCTTATCCCAGTGTGCCCCCTAAGCTTAGCCAAAGCAGGAGCCCTCCAAACTTGGGATAATTATTTAGGGGGGAACAAAAAACCTCCCCACACTTGCCGTGGAATGGACAATAGGGAGAAATCGTTTGCAGTGAAAACGACTTGAAGGAATTTGAAAAATGGCCCTCCTGGGGGATTTCCTCTTATGAATTAGAGATGGCAAAGAACAAATTCATTTCCCACGTGAAGTCATAAAAAAAAAAAAAAAAAAAGGTTAAAATATGCATGACAGCACGACACCTACATGTAGCCTTATTCGCCGAGCGCACCTTTTGGTTGACTCATTTGTACCAGACGTTTGCTCTTCCTCCTTAGGGTGTGCAGGATAAATTCGCCTTTTTTGTTACCCTTATTTTTCCCCACTTTTGGCACAATTTTTTGTTCCACACCGGATGCAAAACCATTGACCACTTCGTTTTATGACCCGCTGGTGAAAACCACACCATTCGAAATGTTTACTTCTTGCGGGTGAACACAATAGCAAAGAGGAAAAAGGACAGTCCGCTCTGCCGCTAATAACGCATGTGTAGTTATGCGTGTCAACTTAAAGTAGTGTGAAAGGAAAGGCTGGTACAGGATGTTGAAAGCATGCACACATTTTCGATAGGAAATTAAATAAGCGCATGTATTAAAAAAAAAAAAAAAAAAAAAAAAAAGATATTTTTGGAGTTTTCAGAATTGGGGAATCTATATTCCATTCATGTAAATTGCGCAGTAGGGTGTTCTCAGTGCGGAAATGAAAAAGTAAACCATGATTAAAGGGGGGAAGATGTGGTGGTGAAATTCGAAGACTTGATGACGCAGCGGTGAAAATTTGCAAAGCGAACAAAAACCGTGATGGATGATAAAATGGAGTAGAAGTCGCGCCTTTTGCTCATCACAGTTGGGGAGGCACATTTGTGTGTGTATGTACAAACAGGTGCACGCGGTTAGCGTGCATTTGGCAACTTGTATTTCCACGGGGAGGTCCAGTAGTGAACACGTCAGCGGTCGGCAAGTTTGTGCCCCTTCTCCGGGGGGCGCATATCCCCTCCGGGCGAGTCTCTTACCCCTTTTCCGCAAGCTGCATATTGTTCTCCGCAAACCTGGTGCGCGTGTCCCCCCTCAGACGTACAGGAGGAGCAGAACAATGAGGAGGATAAAAATTTTGGCGAGGAAGCCACAGTACCCAGCGGCAACTTTCACAGACATGTAACCAATTTTATTTCCCTTTCGGCAAATGCAAGTGAAGGAGGTCGTTTTGGGGATACTTCCGACGAGGGCAAAAATCTTAACCGTATTGCCGTCGTTGACTTCTTGATAATATTCTACATTTCCAATATTTAGTTGAGCATCTAGGTAGACCATTTTGGAAGGTTCTAATTCAGGGGATTCTCGTTGGTACACTTGGAAAAAGCACTCTGGTGAAATTTCTCCAGGACAACTCATACCTATCAGGTGATTATATGAAGTGTCCGTAAGGTCTATGTGGCAGGAAATTTGAGTGCTTTCTCCAAGTTCAGCCATATCGATATTATTTGTAAATGTGTGAGTAGAAAGATCAGAGGAGAAATTACAACCATGAATGAGTTTGTTCATAAATAATGGTTTCAACGATACAGTATAGGTCGTTTCTGGCAATTTGCAGGAGCACTCTGCGCTAGTGTCCACAGACTTTACATATACGGGTGCTTTAAATATGGCAAGATTTTTGTGGTACACAATTTTGTTGCTCTTATATAGCGTAAGGGCAGATTCGTCTTTTCCCTTTTTGAAACATTTATCATCCACTTGTTCGCAAGCTAGCACAACTAATTCTCCTTCTTGAAGTTCTAAGTCCAATTTATTTGATGTGAAGGAGTTTTTATTCAACTGGTTAGGCAAGTAAGGATATGCTTCATTTGTTAAGTTGATGGAGGTAATTTTGTGAGGATATTTTAATACGTTCACTTGAACCAAAGCAACTCTTCCTTTCACATTTGATATTATTTTCTCGGAGTTGTCGCAAATGCAGTAGAATTCAACATCCTTTGTATTGAAGGGAGATATTGTGAGAATTTTTTCTGTGTATTCTGCATTAGAATCATCTTCTTTGATGTCGTATTCAACCAAACCCATGTTTTCAATTTTTTCCTCTGTCTGTTTTTCATAATTTGTATACACCGTTTGGAAGCAATTTTCTGGTAGCATTTTAAAATTAGATCCAGGCTTCTTCTTCGGGATGGTTAATTTTATTTTGTCATAGATGAAGTAGGAATTGATGCTACATACGAGGGACCTTTTTTCTGTTAAAATGGGTTCTATATTGTGAACCCCTTTACTTGAGAAGTTACATTTGAACCCGAAAAATCCGGACGCGTCGTTGTTCAGGTCCTGTGGCTTTACGTACTTGACCTCGTCTCCTTTGGTCATCTGTATGTGCGTTATGGTGTGCAGCAGGGACAGCACGAGCAGAAGGTTCATTAACTGGCGCTTCAACATGGTTACACAGGTTAGAGTAGTGGACGTGGCGCGATGGAGGTGATGCAGTTGCAGCAGCGGGGGTTGGTTTTAATTTGATGAGCCCAGCTGTCTACTGATGCGGAGTCAAGCCGGCGACATGAACGTGTGTGCCCCGTTTTTCGATATGCGCACTATAAACACGGAAGTGATCCCTCTGTTGGCACAATCTCTATATCACGGAGGGAAGAGAGACGGAGGCCCTTTATAAGTACGGTCACGTGTATGATATATATATATTACAATTGCGTGTGCTGTAGGGATGGAATGAAGATCTCCCAAATGCACATACACAAACCGAAAATGTTATTATCACGTTATTTTGTTGAAGAAGTAAAGGCATGAGAGACCTGCGTGCACACTTGCAATGTATGGAAAGTACGGATGCGCAAAATATATATAAAAAAAAAAAAAAAGAAAAAAATTTACATGAAAAAAAATAAAAAAGACGCCCCTTTGTGAATTTTCACATGAGCAATGTGGATTGTGGCAGAGGTTCGCACGTAAGGGTTGGCGTATTGCACATGCTTGTGTTTATTCAAAAATTTGTCATTCGTCATTTCTTCTTTTCCCAACTGGTGAGGTAAATTCACTTTTTGAATTTTGCTCCTAGTTGGGAAGAGGCGGATATTATGTGTGCCCAAGCCACTATAGCTCTGTCTTATAGTATCATCGTAATTTTTTTTTTGTTTTTACACAGTAGGGGCTTTTTAATATTGCTGTACGGATTCTATGCCTGGTAATGTTCGTTTTTTTTTTTTTTTTATTTTCAATCCATATTTAAAGCGCTTATGCGTATGTGCAGTTGTTTTACCATGCTATGCATATATTCGAAATTTTTTTTTTTTTTTTTTTGAAGAAAACTGGATGTACAGCATCGACAAAAAAGGGGGAGGGTCCCCCTCGTGCGTGTGTATATGTATTCCTGCATGTATGTACGCCCGTATGTGTGTGTTCCTGCATGTATGTACTCCTATATGTACGCCTATATGTAGGCCTATATGTAGGCCTATATGTAGGCCTATATGTACGCCTGTACGTACGCCTGTATGTACGCCTGTATGTACGCCTATATGTATGCATGTGTGTATGCATATGTGTGGCGGGGTACGCCCCTTTTTCGGTGTAGAATAGCCATAGTGAGTATTATTTCCACCCCTTGTGCCTTCCCCTTTGGGATGTGTAGCGAGAATTACTTAGAGCGCACGGCGTTTCTTCTGCGTGGAAGTATCGTGTGCGAAAACTCCGCCGCTGTTGATGCGTACCTTGCACGAAACGGCTGCACACTGAGAGTTCGCCCATTTTGAAGTGGATAAAATTTACAGATAGTTCGAAGGAACTAGTGTGAAATGTAAGGCATAGACAGAAAGTGAAAAAATATTTCTTCTCAGAATAACCTATGAATTGGAGTTCTTTACCTCAATATATCTTTTTTTTTTTTTTTTTTTTAATTTTTGGCCATATTTTTGAGGGGCGATTTTTAACTATGCGGATTATGGGTGAAGAATAGGAACAGACGCTGAACCTGACATGGAGGGACGCATTGTTTTTACGAAAAATGAGGATGAATGCTCCTATTATATGTTCCCATCGTGGGCGGGGTTCAATTTATTTTTATTTTATTTTTTCTTTCAATTGGTGATTGTTCCATACGGAAGTGGCGCACCATGTGTGCTCACTCTGCCTCAGCATGGGGTTAGGTTTTCTCTCCATAGGGAGGAAGAAAAATGGGCGCAGTCTTATAGGGAGTGTGGGGCGCATGGCAGCGCGGCTACTTTATCGGCGCTGCGTTGTTCGTGTGTCTCCAGACACCTGTGTATATTTCCCAGTTGAATTTTTTTTTTCATTCCGGGCGATGCATTTTTCGGGGGGAGCATAATGCTCTGGTCATCACGTGGTATTGCAAGCCACGCAATGTGCCTATCTGTGTTTATCTGCTCAATGAAGCCTTTTTTTCGCAGGGCCAATGTGGTTTGAGGGTTATCACGCGTAAAGAAGAGCGATGAGGAGAAGCATCAAGGTGAGGCTGAGGAAAGTCCATCCGGAAGAAGAGTCAATCTGGAGTTCCATAATTCCAGTTTTTCCATTATGCTCACAAACACATCTCACAACTGTATATTTTTGTGGACTGGTTGGCAGTCCAATTATGTAGGATCCTTGTTGTGCATTGCTATAGAACTCTACATCTAGGGTTCCCAAGATGTCGGTTAACAAGAACGGGTGATAAGCCTTGACCCCGTTGACGTTTTTTTCATGTAAAACGTGTCTAAAGCAATAGGTAGGTGTTAATTTATAGGGGCACTTAATACCTGCAGAAAATATCTTCTTACTGGATCCGATATGTACAGAACAAATTCTTTCATTTTGTTCAATATCTTCTAAAGCAAACCCATCCGTGTAGTCTCCCTGTCCCTCCGGTTTCGTAAAATCACAACCATCTATGCTTTCCGTTTTTTGAAACTTCATGATAATTTTTACAGTTGGTTTTGTATTTTCTTTAATTTTAATAGCACAATTCTCTGTAGATAAAAACACCGTAGGAAATCTTATATTCAAAACGTGTTCTTGTAGAAGGCCATACTTGATGTTAATAATATTTTCGCATTCGTCTATTTCAGGTTGCTGATTGGGTTTAAACTTAAAATGAATAATATCATTTTCCTTTGCTTCAATTATTTTGTCATTTCCATTTTGCACTATATCTGTGTGTTCATATTCATTAGCGTCTGTAAAATCTATTCCCTTGGGTTTCTTGTTTTCTTTGTTTAAAATAATTTTTACTAGTCCTACTTTTCCTTCTTGTACTTGATCAGGCTCCTGACCTTTCTTCGTTTTCCTGTTGTCACATCTACAATATATTGTTTTGTTATGTTTATAATACCCTGGGATTATCAACATTTTTAATTCAAAATCGTTAAATGTTTTGTTGAAGGACAATGTTTGATCTAATTCTAGGAGTTCCATATCTTTTTCATTTTCTTCTGTATCATATGGGGAGTATAAGTGTTTTGTAAAGCACTTAGCTGGCACAGCTTCCAAATCTGTGTAGTCTCCAGTCTCTTTTTTTTTTGGACACACCATGGCTACGTAGTCTGTGAGATGTGGGTTATTCACCGTGCACCAAACTTCTTCATCATGTCCATTCGGTTCTTTCAGCACTGGCTTGATACTACTATGAGGATTCAATGCAAAGTCACATATATGCTCATTTGAAAGCATTACATTGCTTACACATTCCTTAAGTAGGAATCCATAGGTCGCTGTGGCCAGAGCTAGCGTCTTCATCCTTGACGATGCACTTCCCGTTTAGTGGTTCTATAATATATAGGTAATCACTTAGAGCTCGCCTTGACCCTTTTCCTACGCGTGTGCGGTTGTGTGTCTGCCTATGTCGCACGGATTATGTGTCCCTGTTGTGGGATCAGCCACTCTGTTCGCGTTTGCTTTATCCTGCCTGGTTTGGGGGGTTACAATTTCTCCAACTTGGGCGATACTTCCAAAATTATTGACGCGTTTTTTTTTTTTTTTACGCCTTTTGCTATAGTTTGGCACGCTTTCCCCAGCGGAAGCGAAAATGTAGGAAAAGCCCTTTATGTCTGCGCGGGGGACACAAATTCAATTTATCTCTGAATGCATAGCTGTAGGGTGTATCACCGCTGTTGCAAATTCGTTCCTGTTCTTTTTATATTCCATTGCGCAAAATGGACTATTTTTCATTCTTTTTTTTTTTTTTTTTCTGTCCTGCTACTTTTGCGGTGATCTAAGTGTGCACGTGTGTACATAAGTTTTTTTTTTGTTTTCCCCATCTGTTCAGGGTGTGTGAGCTCCACTGATCAAACGGTTATGAGCAGATACAAATAAATATATATATGTGTGTATTTTTTTTTTTTTTTTCCTGTGCGCTTGACCCACTCTGACGCTGCAGAAGGTGGCTGGTTGCCTAGGATCCCCTGTGACGTTGCACACCGCACGCAACGTGTGCGACCATGCAGCCTCCCTTTTCCACATGTACATACATCCAAGCACCAACGTTTTGTGAAGTAATCTGAGCAATGAGGTGTGCCCTCCCGATTTTTTCACTCGGAAATATTTATCTTGAGGGATATTTCCCCCTACCTGCACAAGTACTCAAATAGGAGGTCCTTTCCAAACTGAACGAAGCGCCCTCGCGAGGTTACGAACCTTTTCACTTGGGTATCACCATAAAGGGTACAACATACCATTCTCATATGTGCGTGTAGAGGGGGGGGGTGCCTTATGCCTTTTCAAATGCGTCCTTCTTTTGCCTCACGGGGGAATATCCACAAGCGGAGTGTAGGATATACTGTTGGGGCCTTTTCACAATTGCGCAAAAATGGTATTTACCTAATTGTAGAGTTTACCAAATGGGGAAGCTGCGATGATGAGTGGGGTGGAAGCAAAGAGGGAACGATGATGCCGGTTTGTTCCTTTAGCACATAATAACTCTCATTCAGGTGTCGGCACATTTACCGCATAAGCACGGGATGGATGGTCTCGCCGAAGCTGTTCGGTTACGTGTGTACGTATGGCTTTTGTGTAGCTTCTTGCCTTTTTTTTCCCCCCAATTTAATAGTGTCTACTTATTCGTCCCTTTAAAACAGAACAATTTAACCCCCTCTACACACTTTCCCCATTTTTTCGATTAAAAATGAGTTCCCTTTTTTTTTGTCACATGTTTGGTGGTGTGGCAGTAATATGACGATCAGGTGTTTTTTTTTTTTTTT